GGCAGGCTGTGTCTATGAAATATTGTTCCATTTTGTAAGTGAAGCACCTCCATGATTCAGCCCATTTGGGAAGAGGACTGCCTGCAGGTTCATAGGATTTCTCTGAGAGAAGCTGTCCAGCAGAATCAGGGAAAGGGCCTGCTGACACACAATATGGAATTTTCCTGTAATAGGTCTACTAGTGAGGAAAACCTTTTAGGCAGGATCAAGTCAACTCTCCTTCCTCTATATCTAAATCCCTCCCTCCTCCCACATTTCCCACATCTTATTTACACAGGCAGTTTGAGGACTAAGGAGCACCTGAACCAAGCCAAAGCTGGACAGTGAATAACAAAGATTGTAAAATATACTCGATGCATTTGAATTCTGGTGTTGGCAAAGAATATTCAAAGTACCATGGACTGTCGGAAGGACAAACAAATCTCTTGTTGGAAGAAGTACAGCCAGAATGCTTCTTAGAAACCAGTATGGTGAAACTTCACCTCTCATTCTTTGGACATATACTCAGGAGGGACCAGTCTCCAGAGAAGGACATCATACTTAGTACAGTGGAGAGTCAGCAAAAAAGAGGCAAACCCCCAGTGATGGACTGACTCAGGGCTCAAACACAACAACAATTGTAAGGCTGGTAGTCCTTCTCCACTTACAGCTGGTATTTTACTGTAAGGAGTGCTCTCCCTTTCATCCATTTATTTATATTTGTACAGACTTGCTAGAGTCTTATGTTATTCAACATAAAGGCTGTAATCCATGACTAGTGTCATTTATTTTAAATCTCAAATTATCTCAGATCTGACCAGTGAAGGTTCCTTCACTTTTAAGCATTTCCTTATTTTCTGGCATAAGATGCTTTGGGATCATTTCTTACGTGCTTTGCCCAACTCCTATCATCAGCCATGTGTCCAAGATCCCTGGATCTTATAGTGAAAGGATATATAGAGATCAAGAGCTGGTACTAGATGTGCCACTCACTGCTCCCAGGTCCTCTTTGTATGTAGAGTTAAGATCTTCTTTTACACACACATACACACACAAAAGGAGGCCTGGTATGTTGCCGCAGGATAATGTGCTATACTGAAAGGTCAGCTTGAACAACAAGGTTGGTGGCTCAAATTCACTAGCCACTCCTTAGAAACCCTATACAGGTTTGCAATGGGTCAGAAACGACTCGACAGCACTTAACAAGAACAACATTGTACACAAACACACACACGTGTGTATAATATACATA